CCAAAATAATTGTCTCTATTTTCTCACTTATATCGACACCATTAAGAATAACAATCACTTCATACTTCAGTTATCCTAAATCCGAGCATCATTCATGTCTTCATTATATATTAAAAAAAGGACTTGAACCAAAGCATATCTTTTGTTTGTCTTTTAATTACAAAATACCATGTATTTTGACCTAAGCTTACWCCATCTGATATAATTAGATATAATTACACAATAATTAAGGACAGACTAGTATGTACCAGTTGGAAGGAACTGGATTCCAGCATATGAATGGATTCCATCACTCCCACTTTTAATATATAATATGTATTTCTCCATTCCCACAGCTTTTGCAGTAAGAAATTCATTAATCTGCTTTTGTCTTCTGATGGAATAAATTTGAATGGAATTAAAATACTACACACCAACTGCATTGCAATTTAGTCTATAGTTTGCTCTCCAGCTTATTAAAGCTGGCCAGGATTCTCAGAGACTTTGAACTTGTATTCCAAATTAAACCTTACAGGAAAAAAATAGTTAAAAAAAAAAAAATTTCTTTTTTTTACTAGTTAACATATACAAAATAAAAAAGTTCATACTCAAGCAACATGCCACAGAGAAAAATGGGCAAATAGAAATGTTACAGAATAGGAAACGAAGTCACCAATCTTGCACAGTTGCTTAAGTATGTTATAGGTTACAATAGAGTAGGTGTGCAGAGTACAGAACTACTCAAGGTGATGAGGTACTTTGAGAATATGATACTGAGAAGAGATATTTCCAGTTTAATAAGAGGAAGTGGAAAACTTCCCCAAATCTCTGTGTCTCAATAGCATTTGACATGTAACATTCTGCAGAAAAATATGCCAATATACCTCGCTCAGATAAAAGGCAATAAAACAAAAAAGCTGATGTGACAGTAACCCACCAACAAAACAATCAATAGAAAAGCAATCTACCAAAAAGTAGCAATGGGCAGAGAAAATGATAATACAAATCCATGCCACTATTTTYAACCTAGACCTACAGAAAGTGGTAAAAATATTAACCGCATACAACACATGAATGAAATCTCTTTTGTAATGTAGAATAGATTTAAAAGCAAATCTCTTTTATATTTGTACAGCACAGTAAACAATGTAGTGCTGGGGATGGAGGACTGGGTTAAAGAGTTAGAAATTCTGTGAGTGACATTTTAAAGAGGAATATTCAAACCTTAAAAATGAGAGCCTCTGGCATTGTTTCTAGTACAGTTTCAGATAGGGTGTCRGCAAACCATATTTTGAAACATGTTCCATAGAATTCTTAGTGTTTTCTCTCTTGGCTCTTAGTCTTTGAGATTTGTGCTCATGTTTATACATCTTAATTTTGTCTATACTCTTAGAAGTGTCCATTAGAACACACTTTCCTTTGGAGACATAGAATAAGATCCAAACAACACTAACGAACCMAACAGCTTGAAAGTATATGGATGTAGTGATCTGTCAATTTGTGGTGAAGGATTAAAACAATATGTAATTACAATTTCATATCTAGCCAACAGGCTAGTTAACACCTGAAATTACACTTTCCGTTTTTATGACAGTAGAAATGAAAAGTGTAGGTAAATTTSTTTCCTCATCAAGGCACTTTTTCTAGCACTACATGCTGGGGTTCATCTGCTGGGGTTGCACTGCTAAAAGAAAAGAAAAAAAGGGATTTGAAATAATAAGTTAAACAAAAACAAGAGGGCTTTCTTGTAAAATTTCTGATGAAATACAATTTCTTTGTTCCTAATAAAGGAATAAATTATATTTTTACATTTGTAACTGAAGTTAAAAAGCAGCTTGGTTTAGATAAAATATGGATACTTCCATAAAATAAAGAAGTATCTTTTTTTCTCARCCTTTTGCTTATAACATGTGTTGTGGACCAGGTTTATTTCCTTGCCCACATGAAAAGACTTGAATCTATATCACTCATTTCACAGGAGACTGCCCAGATTAATACAGTATAGTTATTCTGGGATGGGCAGTTTTCAATCTCTTCTGTGAGTCTTTTCCATATTATATAAAGTAATATGATCTTAATTGGAGTGGGAGCAGAAACCCATGAGAATTTCTGGGCCGGGTGCCTACAGCCATGTATATATATGTATTCTTTATATTCCTAACCACTTACTTCCCATTGACTTCCTCCCCGCAGATTTACCAGTTCATCCCTCTAGATTAGTACAAATGTGGTGGGAATTTGGGTCAGAATATTTGAGCATGTATGAAAATATTTTTGGCAAAGGATTTTCAAATACAAAATGTATTTTCAACTGACAATATGAAGTTTTTTTCATGTCACTCTTAGCAAAAAAAAGGTCATACTTTTCTGGAAGGATATAAAGGATTGTCACACATACTGTGATTGACCCTGTGGGGGTGGGTGACATCAGTTTCTTTTGCTCCTCTTTGTTCCTCATCAACAAAAGCTTGAAGGCCTTGCCTTACCTAGATGCATCAGCCTTAAGCTAAAAGTCGAGTGCCTTAAAACAATCAATTTACCAGGAAATAAAAACGACATTATGCATTATAGTTAAAGGAAAAATGTTTTAAAGATATAAATTATCCTTGTTCTTTCCCACCAGTCTTAATGAGACTTATTGGCAAAATTTGAATAGAGTACTAAAATAAAATCTTGCTTTCAGTTGTAATAAGATCTGAGCAAAACTTCAGCTGCAGGGGGAGTTTCTATTAGCACTACGGAAAGTGTAGTCTGTCTGTACTGTATGCCTATTCCACATAAAGACATTCTGTCATTTATTATTGTGACAAGTTATATTTTCTGATGGAAGAACTAATTAATTCACTGAACTCCAGGTAAAGCTAACTCTAATTCTATTCAGGGCAAATATACACAATCGTGCTCAAAAACAAAAAGTCCGTCTGCTGACACTTCTAAGTTTTTCCTGAAAGCATATCAACAAAAGTAAAAAAATGTAACCAATGTGTATTAATTGCAGGAAAAAAACCCAACAACTTGTTTTTAATGTGAAAATAGAATAATCACACAAGAAAAGGTGAATATTCCCTGATGAGATGTCAAAAGTGAGGTAAATAACCATCTCTGACAAGCTTTTGATAGTGTTTGCTTTATGAACTACATTAACATATTCTACTAATAGCAACTTACCTGAAACATAAGAACAAACTCATGGAAAGCAATGAAGAAAATTTAACCCTAACATGCTTGATAAAATGTGGGACCCAAGTAAGCCAGTGTTGAATATCCATAAGCTTGCAAATAGCCAGGTTTTTATGAATACAATGCAAAAAGACTGCTTTCTGTTGACAACCAAAGAATCTTTAACATAATTTTCACAAGTAACATTAAATGGATTCACTGTACCTCACTTAAAATTCTTGATTCTGTTATTGCTAACTTGGTCCTGATATAGACGACTTTGAAGTTCTGGATATTCTATAGAGCAGTTACATACATATTTGCTTATATACATATTACATATATACGTACATTGTAAATAGCGGTTAGCTCCCATTTAAATAATTTTGTGTACATCATCTGATAGAGAAACTGCTTTTGAAAATCTTAGAATTTCAGACCACAAAATGCAAGTTCCATCAAAATTCACTGGTAAATATAAATAAATAATAAATACTGTTTACTTATATCTATGATACCTATGTTTATTTATTTATTTATTTATTTAGCTTTATAACTTGTTGTACTTGATAAATCATAAAAAGACCTAAAAGTGAAACATAGTGGTGGAAGTGGAAGATAGAGAATTTCAAGTCATATATGTTGTTACATATGTTTTAACTGGCTTAAAAAACAAACTCAAGGTATAATGTAAAATGAAAAAAAGAACAGTTACTTTGGGCATCCGTCACTTTTTTGTGTATTGTCCTTCTGTTCATTTGATTTTCAGATGAGAACACAACAGCATTATCATTTACTCTGATCTGTGAACTGAACTAATTTATCCATGAAATCCATGACTTCTGGTAAGAAACATCATACTCAGAAAAAAAAAGTTGTAACTTTTCTTTGTGAAGTTTTATCATCAAAGGAAGCTACCACTAATTTTAATGGAATATTTACTTCTCTGAGGAAATTAAGTTGTATACTTGATTAAATGGATTTCACCGTTTTTTGTTGGTTGCTATCCAAACRTTAAGAGGTTTAATGGTGATCTGAATAAAGGATGTACATCACAAATTTTCCCATCTTAACTGAGTCATGCAAGCAACCTCTGTAAAAGTATTATATAAAGATTAATGTAATTAATATTGTTAAATTTATGGTTATTAATTCTATTAATCTACTACATTTATTCTAGTAATAATACTGCTTGTTCTACCAGCATAACAATATGATTACAGTAAGCAAAGATCAACATCCTTCATTTCTAATCAGAAGATATTGTATGGAATTTACAGTGCTAAACATAACCTATGCTAAATCTAAGTGCTGCCTTGTAACTTGATAGTTCCACCAMGCACTACTGCACTAATCAGGAGTTTGAATAAGGAATCAAGGACTTTTAAAACATCGAGTGCTAAGTAATGGAAAGTTGCATTCAGATGTGAATCATCTTTTGCCATTTTTTTTTAAATAAAGAATCAACATTTTCATTGAGATCAATTTGTTCAACAAGTTATTACATTAACCTTCATTTTTTCTTTCTTCTAAAGCAGTCTCAGAAATACAGATACATTTTTCGTACACACTTGAAACTTCACCCATAGTCTGTTTTTCAATAATCAAAAAGAACCTTAAATTTTCCACTATCTTTTTTTCTTTCAAATAGTACTTCAGAAAGCAACTGTTATTCAAACTCATTGTTTCTATGTACTTCAAAGAGAAGTTCAAATACGAGAATTCTCTTTGGACAGGATCTCTGAATTTTAGATTCTGTTTTCATAGCTGCATTTTTCCTCTATAGTTCCAAGCTTTTAAAATCTGAGAGCTATGATATTAAAAAACCCTCCCATAAATCTAAAGAATGGTAAGTGACCTACCTTAGAAAGTCCGCCTACTTCCAAATAGAAGCAGATAATGAAAACATTCCAGGTGACCCACAGGGCAGTCCACACCGTGTACTAAACAAAAAGTTGGATGGAAGCAAAAAAGACAGAAAAATAAAATGTGAAGATGAAAGAACTTTATACTGAGCAGATCAATAATAAAAAAAAATTGAAATCAGTAAATATTGTTCTTCTGGGAACAGTCAGGCAGAGAGAGTTCAGAAAAGGAATTCTCCCTGTAGAAGTCCCCTAAGAACGATAGGAAATTACAAATTCAATATGCTTTGCTGTTCTAAATACATACCAATAAAGCAGATTTACTCTTTACAGACTTATGCTATTCTGCCGATACTAATGAATTCCAGAATGCTGACCGAAACATAGTTTTTGGTACAATTGTAAGTCATTTGTAAACCACAGTTTAGCTCTGATTCATTCACTCCAATGAATCCAAATTCATTGGAATTTGAATATTCTAACTCAAATGCACTATATCTTACAAAATACTATGTAGAAAAACATATGAGAAAAATACTAAGTTAAACGGCAGCTCTCTTGACCTGATATTTGGAACTTGTCTGACAGTGAACGAGTAAAATTAAAGTCAAGTCTCATCTCTTAAGGGTTTTCCCATAGAAGGTATTTTAATTAGATTATTATCTCATCTGTGTCTGACTCATTAGTTCTCCAACCCTTGTGGTCATGAACATGATTCAAAAAAGCACCCTTATCAGACAAATGTCTYCAAATCTCTTCTGGGATCATCAGCATTTTACATGAGTGCAGAAATGAACTCATATTCTACCCGCTGCATGAATGGGAGATTAATTGGTCTCCTATAAATCATCATTCATATTTTAATCATCACCATAACTAATCGGTTATATTTCCTTATTGATGCCCTGTTTACCTTTATATGACTGCAAAACTGTGCACAATTAGCTGTTCAGATAATACAGATCAGAGTCATTTATATGGGATTTGCTAAACGCATGCTCAGCAGCACTGGTGTTATAGCCACCAAAAAATGTAATGAGAGGCAAGAATGGCAGTGCCGCTTTACATTTGTATGCTTGTGACCTTCACAACAGAGAACTGCTGCTAAGTGGTTTTGCAAGTTTAATTAGCTGTGACCAGGTCAGACTAATATGCCATTGTTTTGCTTCAATATGCCAAGCATAACTCAACACCCTAATCTAAAATATGCCAGATCCTATTTTCATTCCACGGGTGCTGTCAGCTTGACTTTGTGGTGCAGCTTTCAATTATGTTTCYCTCTCTCTTCCCCTCCCTGTAGTTCATTAGGAAAAGGTTCAGCTGAAGAGGGTTGATCTTTTCCACAATTTGATTACCCCTACATGCTATGCACCCTTGCACTTCAGCAGTTACTGCACGCAAAACATGTTATCTGGTTTAATCTAATTTCTTACGAGGTATTTAGGATGCTTGGAGATGTCCATTGCACAAGAAGTAGATAATTAATACACAAAATAAGAGTAATAGTCCTGGTCCCATTCTTCCGGTTTACAGAGAAAGGCTGTGTAGCAATTGAAGGCTAGGTTATTATAAGGCAGACAAAGCTGCTATGGTCTGAGAGCTGTATAAAGTCTCTACTATCAATATAATTACCATATAAGAGGATATCACATTTTTTTTTACATTTGCTGATTTTGTAGGGCTATTATAAGCCCTAGATTCTCTAATGTATGTTCAAAAAAATGAATGCGCAACACACACCCAACTGCTAGAATTTTAGTCATATTTAGGCATTGCTGTTCATAAAAATCAGATTTCAGAAATCTCATGAGGATTCCATATTTTAAAAAGAAAAATTTTACTCATCTGTCCACAAATTAATTTTGGCATCACAAAAAAGGCAAGAGAACTTCATCTGCCAGGCCAAGCCWGATCCTTATGGGCCTCATTCTGTTCCATGGGTAGCAAAGAAACTCCGACCCATGCAGGCAGACACCATTCCAGAGTGCTTTTCCAGGCCAGGCTATTACCTGGCCAGGTATATGTTTTACAATGTCCAGATCAGACAGTTCAGATACTTATCAGTTGTGACAGTAACTGAAGCATAAGTGCAGATGTGAAACAAAAACACATCTTGAACCTCACTGTACAAGGAATCTTGCAGAAGCAAATCTTCCTACGGTCTCACTGAACTGTAGGACTATAAACTTAGGTTCTATTTTCATTAAGAATATAATTATTACATATTTAGCAATTATCACTACCTAAATTTTAAAAGTGAGAGAGTTATTCTCCGCATTTGAGAACATGCCCTTTGGGTTACACAAGTAGCATCTTTTCCCCTTGTACAGCATCATAGGTATTCACAGACTTAAAAAAAAGATGAAAAAAAAAGATAACAAAACCAAGAAATCAAAATCAGGAAATATCAGAATTCTGTTATATATGTGATCTTCATTTCCCTCTTCGTAGATGTGCAATATAGTACAATCTCTAAATCTCATAGGTAAATTTTTGTTCTAAAGGGTCCTAGCTCACTCATTTTATTTTATGAGCAGCTACTTCAATCGTTCATTTCTTGTTGTCAATCAGATCCTGCTCTGAAGACAGAATATTAATTTCCTCATGAGATTTTCTAAGATGCTCATCTCTATAATATGTAAGACCACCACAGACAACTAATTTAGTTTAGGTTATAAGGGAATGATACAGTCCTCAGAATGCAAATGATGTCCTGATACTTGCAGASATTACATTCAGAAGTAGTCATACATTAAGGGCACCCAATCTGAGATGCTTAAGGCTACATTTTTCAGTACACTCAGGTTAATATAGCTCTCCATAAGCTCAGCGTTCAGTWCCCAGTGACTCAGCATTCAGTGCTTCTGCAAATCACATTACAAGCACTCAAGTCAAGAATCYAGAACACAAGGAAGAATCAGCTACTGAAAGCAGGTGAGAAGTTCATTTTAACTGACTTGTTTTATGTCCAAAAGGTTCCAGGGGCTGAGAGCATTGATAAAACTTAGCTACCTAGCACAGCCTTTGACTCTCTGCATAACAAAAATAAACCTTTTATTTCCCCTTATATTCTCCTATCCTGCAGTCCCATGCCTTATTCTTTTTTTTTTTTTTTCCAAATCAAATTCTAATTCTATAGCTATAGAAAACTATAAGTGTTCCCTATCAATTCTAAGGTGTCCTCCATAAAAAGTACTGGCATGTGTCTATGCATGTTCGTGGAAATTGATAATGCTTTCTGAACATCATGTGTAAATTTATGTGCATATAATTTCCTAGTTTAAAAAACAGATTGTAACAATATTTCAGTATGTGGCATCACACTAACATCTGCATGGATCACTAAGACAGCACAGATTTTATATCCATCACAAAGATTCTTGTTCRGGCCAGCAGAGTAATGGACTGCAGTACTGGTTTGTTGTCCTACATGTGAGGAGAAAAGAGGAATTACATGTTCTGCATGTTGTCAGATGTTTGCTGTCAGGAAGAGATAGTTATTGTCAGGAATATCAGGGCCACACTGCTCTGCAGTGCTCATTTTCCTCCCAAGGCTCTTCACCTAATCTGTTTCAGTGACTGCAACACCATTTCTTTGGCCAGCTATGTTCAGTCCTTCCCTGGCTCCCCTAGCGTCATGCTCAGCACGGAAACCCCAGACTTGCCATGAAGAAGGATTTTTGTTTTCACACAAGGGTTCAGAGACTTTTCTTTTTCTGTTTCTTTTCCTTAAGGACACATCATGCACCACTACTTAAAAAATCATCTGGATATTGTCGCTTAAGAAATTCCTTGTAGTGAARGAACCTATTGACACTGGTGATAACATTTGATGCTTTCTCCCTGTGATGTACTGCAGAATTCCAAGCTTTTGGTATTTTCACTAAGGATTTCATATGGAATGGGGTGAGGAAGCATTTGGTGCCTTGGTATATAAAGAGGATACTCCCTAGATATTCCAGGTAAAACGTCTATTAAATTACTGTGTAATTCAATAGACAATGTCACTTTCAGACCCCCTTTGTTAATGTCAGCCTTGATAAAAATGCTGTTTTTGTAATTCTTTTGCCTCTGCAGCTCATTTGCACACTGAAACTGTCAGAGAAATACTTTTTGTTTATGCAGGAAACACTTTTGGGAAATAATTATGCAGCCACTTGTAGAACAAAATGACTCCTATTGGATGGGCCCCAATGTAACAAGGTTATTCTGTTAAATTGAAAGGTAGGAGAAATGTTTGAGGAAAAAAATAAGGTTGACTATTACAAGGACTGCGGGATAAGTTTAGCTTTAATAACTAAACTATCTATTTGATGTGTCTATTTAATCTGAAATGCAGCACCCTCTCTTAAAGAATGCCTTGATATTAGCACAAATGTTGGTTTATTGATTCTTCAAGGGAAAACCAGCAATTAGGGAGTTATCACAGCTTCTTCCTGTAATATCTGAATATGCCTTAGAAGCACCAGTACTAACAAGAGCATCGTATTTGTGAAAGATGACAAGGAAAATAGCATAAATTAATGTGATGGAGCAGTAATACCCCAGGACTTACCAAGAAGGATATTCAAGGAAAAGCTCTGGATGCTTAAATATTTCACATGTGTTTTCAAATGGCAAAAATGCTTGCACAGCAGTTGCATGAATGCTGTATTAAGTAATCTCATTTTCTTTTCTCTTTTCTGTTTTTAAGAAATTGCCTTGTGGCATTTCAGGTGTACATACTACCACAGCAWGAAAACAGACTATATGTCACATTACTTAATAAAATACATTAAGCTAAGCAAAGCAGAAATTTCCGCTTTAGAACTTCCCTATTTAAGTATCTTATTTTCATCTCTCGTTGTTCATTAATACATTTATATTCAACCTTGGGCCGGATTTGTGTAATATTGGTTATGTGACTCATCATTCGGAAGGCTTTTGAAGTTCCATACTGGAAGTAGGAGGAAGGGTGGGGGGAATCTTTAACATGCATTCTGTSATCATCCTTAATCAATTTTAACAGCCTGAAAGTATTGCTAGTGATGCAAGTTCTGTCGAGAATGGAAAAGCAGGCATGGAGAAATGGATCATAGCATAGCTCAGGAGATGTGTGATTGCCATGTTGCGCTGTAATTAGAATTATTCAGATTGATCTCTCTTCTTTGCAAAAACTTGTGTAAGTTTCAAATGAGCTAATAATAGAAAATTACTACTCAGCTTTGCACTTCAATGGCCCCTGGGAACTCTGGACTGATTTAATTCAGCCACAAAATATTCAAGTACAGAAAACAACACATCTGCCTAGTGACAGGACCAATTGTTCAGGAAAAGAATACAAAAACTATTAAAATAATTATTAGATTTAGCTAATCAGGACATTTGCAGTTAAGACCCTTGCTCTCTCTCTCTCTCTCTCCCTTTCTCTTTCTCTCTCTCCCCCTTTCTCTTTCTCTTTTCTAAGCTTTTCTGAGGATTCAGAATTTTACAATGAGTAAGTACAATTCCAGCTCTGTTTMAGAATTGCTGTCCTTATACTCCTAGATCTGTAGACTGCAGAATGCAAACTTCATATACTACCTTTGAATGGCACTACCTGTAATGATAGTAGTAGCTGAAAAAGATGCTCCCTGAGTCAGCCATGGGCTTGCAGCTCTTGAACAGTGGGGCATTAATTTGCTAGAAATTTCTCAGCAATCTGAATTTTGTATCACTAGTGGCAAAACACAAAATTCATTTCTTTACCCAGACTTTTATTTCACAATGGTTACGCTTGTTCTGCACCAAATAGATGACTGCATCTCGTGCAGGAATTAAGTGATAGTATAAACTAGCTAGCTTGGGTTTATTAATGAAAAGAGTTCAGAACCATCTGTCTGCTTTTGTGTGTATCCACCTTCTATCACACGGACTACCCTGAGCTCTGTGGCCCAAAGAGTCCTGAGCTCCAAACGGTCCAGGGTCAGCCTCCTGTTGCAGTCTACATAGGCTTCAGGTTATGGCACTACTTGAAGCCAACCTTGAACTGGCATCAGTTCTGACACAGGAAAGGAGAGAGGATAGCTATGCACCTAGTGGCAGTAACATTGGTACATGAAGAAAAAACCTGAGCAACATGCAATCACAATTGAAGATTTTGAAAGATTCACTCTCAACTCTAAACTATCTTAAGCTGAGGCCACACATAAAACATCTATTCATTTTCTTCCTAACCCTGCTGCATGTTAAAGGGACAGGGCAGCAACAGGGTGAAAGCTTCTGTTTCTAGTTAGGGAAACCTTCAGTCACCGATTTCCTTACCATACTCCCTCACTCATTAGCAAAGAAAATTTCAGGAGAAGTCTTAAGAAAAAAAAAAATATATATACATAATATATATATATATATATATATACACACACTTAGAGTGCTTTCCCTGAGGTATTTTGTTACTCTTCCAAGTAACTGGATTTAAGTAAATCTAAGCTAGAAGCTGGATCATGTAATTGGACTATATAAAAGCATGATTCAGCACAGTTCTTTTCCAAAGCAAACTGAATTCACACTCAGATATGGAACAGGAACCATTATTAGATGTGTCTGAAGATAGAGATATAGACTTAAAAGCCCACTAAGCTTCTCAGTGAATTTGGAGTCTAATTCATTCTTGAGATCCAAGGCAGAAAACCTCTCCACCTATTGTCCCCAATATTGAAATTTGCATTAAACAAATTTTATATTTGAAATTATTGGTAAAATTATACCTCTATAACAACCAGAATATAATTTGGCAATCAGAGAGGCAGTCTGTGTCCTTCCTTGGGAGGAACACCTTCACATTCTCTTTTCCCTTGGGGAAGACTGTTTGGATTTGGCACTAGAAAGAGTAAAGAGGTTTTACTCCCTGTGCCAGAGATGTCTTTGGGTCTGTGGAGGGCATCTGCAGCTGGCACAGCCCTTGGAAGCACAGCTGGATTGTTTCTGGAGGATATTCAGGCTACAGCTCAATGAGCACTTCCAGCTGGCATCAGCCTGCTCTGCTGCAGAAAGAATTGGTGCCCTTGTCCCCTTCCTCTATCTGCCTGTTCCCATTTTCCCTCCCTCCCTTTCAAGTCCCTTTATTTTGGAAAAAAATATGTAGTAAAATAAGCCAAGGAGCTTACTTGCWCTTAATGCAGCAACAGAAACCAGCTGCTTTCCAGTTGGATCTGTTCCTGGTTAGTCAGTTTATCAAGTGGCTGCACAAACCCTTCTGCTTGTGCAGAAGAAAGAACAGTACAGGGACTAACTGAAAGTAGCAGCCGAGTAAAATTGTTACTTATGCTGCCTCAAGGTATTTATTGAATCCAGCCCAAGGGCAAAAGTAAATGTAAGGCTGAGCCACCAGGTTGTAGTTGCTGACCTAGGCTGTCTAAATATTCTAAAATGATCATTTACACTGGMAAAGACAGAGAAATAGTCAATATGTGTTGCATTTCATTTGAAAAAAATAGTTTTGGGGCAATACAAGTAATTTGGGGCATTAAAGACACCAATTTCTCATGGAAATTTACAGGTATTTACTCTCACTAGCATCAACTGACTTTTATACAAAATGGAAAACATGAAGCAGAAGAGTGAATCATCAGTCTATGGAGGTAGGTAACCTCCTGCCTAGTTCTCCAATGACCAGTATTAGATGAAAATGCTATTATTTACATCAGTCCAGTTTTAATTATTCATAGTCTGCTTATGAAGCTTAGATAATATGAGTATTGAGAACCTCTGCATTACCTTGGATGCACTTTGTGTTCACTTTTTCTTTTAAGACATGACAAAGAATTAAAGGACTCCAGGCTTSACTATAAAAAATGAAGATTTTTCAAGTATTTGTTTAATGAGCTTTCCCCAGGAGACATTTATTTCACTCTTCTCTGAGAAAAAAAAAATATTTTTGCTGTTTAAAATCCAATACTAACAACGTAATTAAAATGTCCAAGTAAAGATGTCACAATCATCCATTAAAGAAAGACTGTGGGGACGGAACATGGATGTTTCTGTTGGCAGCTCTCCAACAGCTCTGAAATATTTTTATTCCTGGATATTTTGAAAATACTGGAAGAAATCTGCAGAGCTTCAAGTTACAAACATCAGAATAATTTACAATAGTTCAGGGTCAGGCCTATAAATACTGCTTTTGGTGAGGTAAGACATAAGTAAGAGGGAGATTTTTCTGGAGCCTATGGGTTCCCGGATCAGAGGTATTTCTAGAGTTAAGGCTCTATCAATTTAATGATGATATGGCTAAATTTAACATAATAAAATATTGACAAAATTGACATAATAAAAGATTTTTTTCATATGGCCCTGGACTGACAATGTCTGTAGAAAAAAAAAAAAGAACAATCTGTATCTCTTTTCTTCATTTAATTTATGTTTAGTCTAACTGTAGATGTTCTCATGACTCAACCAAAGTTCTTTTAGTAATCTTAATGGTATCATATATTAGAACACAGGAACTTCTATCACAGTCAAACATTTGGCAGAACTTTCTYTAGTTCTAGACACCAGAAATGTCACTCAGCATTCCTAAATTATCAAAAAGATACAGAGACCTGAAAAGTTTTTACAGAAAGGATGAACAGGTGTCCTCAAACCTAAGACAATTCTGCTTTGTAATGTGACAGGCTTTAAAACCAACTCTAAATATAATAGATAATAAAGGAGACTTACCACAACTATATACCGAGGCCTAAACTGGATGGTTCCAAACAAACCCAAAATGACAACTATTATTTGTAGGAAATTGCCAAGGATAGGAGCCCATTGGAAACCAAGGAAGTCAAAGATCTGTCTCTCTAGTGCTGCCAGCTGCAAGAAAACATAAAGAGAACATCCATTTTTTAATGATTCAGAATGCTATTTTTTAAAATTTTATTATTATTTCTTCTAGGAGTCACCAGACTAGAGCATGGCAAAATTCTGAAAACTATGGATGTTGGGTGGATTCTTTATCAATGTTTCCATTACAYTGGTTTCTGAACATAGCTGCTAGTCAGCATACTGATTTCCTAGTGATAAAGTACCAAGAAAAGCTTTAATTAAAGACAACATCTGTAAAACCATCAAGCAATATAAGATTACCTCACAACCCAAATATTGTAAAGTTTTCTTTTATCTTGATATATTGAGAACTCCATGGCTTAAAAGTATTTCTATAAATAAAAAATTTTTCTAAAAGAAAGGCTCACTTTGTTAAGAGTCAATTCACCTGAACCTTGTTATAAGTATTGGTGTATCATCCTGCTCCTTCCTTTTCCATGCCTGCATCTTCTTATATTTTAGTCTTTCAAACTGTGACTTTTCCTTGAAAGCAGATATTTGGACCAAAAAGGGCAGAGAAAGCTCTGCAGAACCCCAGATCTAGCCATGTGGGTATGTTTGCGGGAATTCCCTAATACAGGAACTGCTGTGAAGTCCTCAGTAACTGAGGCATGGAAGCAAGACAAGGGAAGGAAAGGCTGCACAGCGCTGCAGAAAGCTGGAAGACCTTGGATTAAAGTGCTCAAAAATTGCCAGCCTGAGAACTATCTGCAGGCTGCAAAGGGTYTTAGGCATGTGTGAAAGACACAGAAGTGGTTTAATGGCCCTCTCGCTCCTGCTCCTTACCCCCTGTACTTTAGGAGCAGATTTACTTGGGRGTCAAAGGAGAGGGAGCCAAGAGGCAGCAGCCTTCTCCGCTGCATCAKCAAGTAGTTTAGCAATTAAAACTTTCCCCTTGCTCATCCCTTCTGAAAGTTTCTAAGCACCTTTGCATCAATGGCAGCATTATGATTTTTCTGCACACTCATTTTCTGCTCATTTTTGACCCTCCGGCCTATTGCTCTACAGATACTGAGATCAAATTTCCTTGTGGCACACTTTTGAAATTTAAATTTAGGTCAATATTTTTCTTTCTTTGGCAAGATTTTTGAGCAGCTAAACAGAATCCTACYGAGCAGGATTCATTCTTGCCAGAATTTATTACACTTCTATTGATTTTACTACATTGTTGCAGACTTTAGAATTTACTAAAATATGTACTTAAAATATTTATAACCAAGACAGATGGAGTATGCACAGCTCTATGAATACAAACTATTATCATATGTGGGCATTTCACAAACATTTCATTTTACACATAACGGCCAGATTCAGTTCTCGTTTACAAGATGTGAATTACACTTCACTTACACGAGGTGTAGCTGACAGCAGAATCCATCCTTCCTGTACAAAGATCATTCTATACATCTGTAATGAAAATCTTATTCTCTAAGCTGAGGCTAATAAATATGATAAATGTAAACAACTAAATGAATGACCACACTGTTATTATTAAAAGGATGTTAGCCTGTTGGCCATAAAAGATGCTACTTTCTTAAGAGAAGCAGTCTCATTCTTTTTGATGCAGTAGGGAGAATCTCAAAGAGAACTGGATTCCAGGTGAGTGAAGCTGTTGGCTCATATATCATTAGCTTCTGTTCTTCATTTTTTCATTTGTCGTCTTCTCCTTTACTCATGCCCCTGTATCATTTCTGTCAACAATTAATTGTCCTTCTTAAGCAGACAGAAAATAAACACAGAAGCTAGCAGCCAAAACCAGAAAATGACATATTTAAATGGGTCTGGCTGGAATTTCAGTGTCTAATAGTGTGATCTTGGGGACCACGCTCAGCCACTACGTTGTCTGAAAGTGCACTGGGCTTCTTAGCACAAAAGTAAGCACCTTACTCTCGTTTTCATAATGTCTCCACCTTATAGCCAGTTCAGGAGCACTATAGTAATGGCCTACTTGAGATTTCACCAGGAAATCTTCAGAATCACTCAGTCTTTCAACCATCCTCCAAACGGGTTCTTTCAGAAAATTTTCATGACAACCTTTGTGAAAATCCACATAGTTTCCGTAAACCAGAGGATACATCACACAGTGCAGTACAACATAGCCCCAAGTCCCATGCATGATATGGCAAAGAGTTTCAAATACTCAGTTTACCAAATCTCCTATGTCCTGTATCACCTGGGAATCTCATTTATCACATCCATGGCCAGAGCTAAAACATGTTTTGTTTCTACCCCTGCAAATGGAGATTTTCTGGGGTCAACATAGCACCACATCATTCATTGGTCAGTATTTTTAGAGACAAGACGCCTTCCTTCCTGCAGCCCTGACATTGTCAAAAAACTCAGGAACAGAGTTGCCAGATTGGTCTAGGACCTGCTTATTGGCCACCTCTGTCCCACTGAAACTCCCATATAGCCAACACTGTTGGCCAGTCTTCTCCACACTGAAAAATTGAGTGTGCCCTGGCATACTCCAGACATCTGAGCCAACTGGTTTTTAATATCCCTGCCCTCTAGTGAAGTGCCTTGCCTCTGAAACAAGGTGGCTGTGTGCAAACAACCTGTTCCAAATTGTCCTTGGATCTTGAGGGTCCATTTCAGGAGTCTGCCGTTTAGAACAAGCCTRGTTAACACGAGGGAGCATCCTCAGCACACACAGTGGCCAGCCACTGCTTGGCTGCCTCCCCAGGCACATTTGAATTCGCTTGTGTAGAGAGCATATGGCTCTGCCAGAGCAGGAGTGAAGGAGAGTCATTTCACAGAGATGGTTTGCTGCAAGAAATGGCTTCTCTAAAAGATATTTTGCCATACTGAAACACCAGAGCAGTCTGAAAGACAAAAGTCTGCAGCACAGACATGACTGAAGCTATATAGTGTGCATCCCTCCTTAATCTGGTCCTTAAGAACAGTCTTTCACAGCTATGTAGATCTGGCTTGCCCTRTACAACTTTGAAGTGTTTTAATGCCTTGAAATACATATTACTTCAATGTCAGCCACTTTCCAACAGACCAATGCTAATGGGCCTAGCAGTCAGCTCCTCAGTCACTTGGACCAGAAGCAAGGGTTGCCTTCATGTGTATCTWTCTCCTCGATTTCTGACAAGCAAGCTCAGAGAACAACAACCAGGACTGGACTCCCACAAAATACAACAGTGGCTGCAAGTGTCTTCCCAAAAATACAAACGCATATATACTCCATATGCACACATACACATAAAAAACAAAAATTAGCCTTTTATGGGTAACGGTGGCAAAGGCACCCATTTCAGCTACAGAGCAGCGAGGCTTAGTTTCCTCTACTGCTGCCTACTAAGGAAGTACCCTAGGGTACCAAGGGGGACAGCTTCTTCTTGAAGCTGTGTCGCTGGGGAAAAAAGACTTAAAACAGAGAGTACAGGCAAAAAAAAGTGAAACTACAGTCTACTGCTAGGGGACTTGTCTGGGCTTCAGAGACCTGCTACTATTTCTTGCCTTCAGGGCTCTTTTTTATTTTTATATACAGTGACAGCATGTAAAATACAGAAGGAATCCTGGGAGCAGGAATCCAAACATATAGCACCATTCCTTTCCCACTGTCAGGTGCTTTCACTATTGGGGCTATGCAGTAAGACTGTCTTGTGCAGCTAAGTCTCATTTATTTTGTTCTTGTCGCCAAGACACAGCAATTTGTCTCATCCCTGAAGCCCACAAAATACATTACTGGAGAGGAAAAAAAAAAAAAAAGAGAAGAGAGAAGACAGAGGTAGGAGGTAGGTCAAATTCCTATTTTATTCTAAATTATACAACCTTCTTATAGCYGCTGCAAATAGAAGTTTAGAAAAACAAAACAAAATAAACCCTAGTAATTCATGATAATGACAAAGGAAACATATTTACTTCTGGTTCTTTATAACATGAGGACTACGCAATGAACAGAGATAATACAAGTGCTTCCATTTTTATTTCTGTCATTTTGCCTAAAGGAATCCCCAAACAGAGTTTAAAGCCACAGACCTTTTAGCTTTGTGCAAATGAATACAAGTAATGTCCAACCCAGTCTATGACTTAGTTAATTGCATAGMAATAAAAAGAATGGGATGGACATAGCACTGTGCACAGTAGCAGACTGTCTTTACACAGACATGAAGACTTAGTAACCTGGCTATTATGAGGCTATAATTGTCCATTATATGACTATAATCAAAACATTTTGACAATAGACTGTTTTTTTTTCCAAATGCAATTTTCCCCCAATGAATTTCCGTTTTCATGACCATCACCAAGGCAGAACTTTCCAAAATCAGCTGGCTCAAGTTTCATGGACAGAATTTAGCTGTAAGTTAGTAGGGTAGAAGTTGTTGCTGAAGATGACATATATTTTGATATGACTGTGGTGAGTTTGCTGTTTGGTAGAAGGCAGCAAAGACGGCATCAGGGGCTAGTGGTTGCGAAGCCAACAAATGCTATGAGTTCCTCTCAAAAACTGTTGTTTGATGTTGTTATTTAATGATTAACATAAAAGGCATAAAAGTACACACAGCTTTCTTGCAAAAAAAAAAAAAAAAAAGGTCTTATGTTTGAAAACTAAGTACTGGGGGTTGTTTTTAGTGAAAATACTACAGTATTCAATTGTTTACCAAAAAATCTTGAATACTTATAAACATTTCAAAGTTGATTGGAAAGAATATTTTTGCATCATAACAATGCTTGGGAAAGGAAAAATAATATTTCTTATTAGCGCTCTCAAGGAAGATATACAGTGCGTTGTTATTCATCATCAGCCTCAGCAATGCTACAACTCAACATTCTCCTCTGGCCATGGGCAAACCTTTTTATGTTAAAAGCAAGAGGTTCAGGTCAGYCAACTTGTCTCAATTTTGGGGCTTTTCACTTTAGCTAGATAAACAGATCCTCTTTACAGTAAACATATCGAGAAATCTTAAACTGAAATATGTCTGCCATAACCATGGTGTCCCATATGCTCCTTATGGTGCACTAGGAACAAAGTAAKGGGTGTGGCAGCAGCCAGCAATGCTGTACAGAAAGAAATTTTCAGGATACTCCCAGTGAACAGTAAGATCAGATAGAACAGTGAACAGTAGGATCAGAGAAATTAGTAAGAGCAAGTTCTACCCAATTGCCCTAACAAAATCCTGCCAGAAATGCTCAAGTCCTATTATACTTTCAAAAATTCACATTAGAAGCCGTCTGAGTGATGTGTCACCACAGCAGAGTTAGGAAGTCAGCCTTTCAAAATGAATGTAAAAACTTAATTCCCTCTTCTGTCAGAAACCTCATGGAAAGTGCTCGGTTTTATGTTTTAATAGAAAAGCTTTTTGTGTAAAGGAAACATTAGTTTAACAGGAATAAACAGATCTACACCCTCCATAGTAGAAATTTACTGCATCACAAAAAAACAGTTTTCATATGTAATAGATTATTTTATACAAGGAAAAAATTTTAAAGGCTTAAAATAAAGCATTTCATTATCTTTATTAAAATAAAAAGATTTGCTTTTTCTTGAGTCATGTTTCATTGAGAAAATATTTTTGTAAGGTTGGGGCAAATCAACAGTGTTCACATCCTTTTGAATTATATCAGAGAATGAGCACTTCCTAATTTAAGGGAAACAAAACCATCAGAAAGATTTTTAACTAGTCTGGCTAAAACCCACTATTGTAAAATAAAATATTGATTTATCAAAAACTAAAATCTAGAAGTCCTAACCAAGGACTAACATCTGAACCAAGAAGTAGGGGGAAATTATGTTAGGCCAAAGATTGACCAATAAAGCATGAAATGCTTTTATATGGCATTTTATATGGCACTATATGGCATAAAAAATACTTTTGTTATAGCTTCACAATTTTAGTGACATGCTCAATTTCAGTAAGAAGGAACCTAAGATTTAACATGAAAGAAATGCCAGGCTTATAGTAAAGGAGTGGGAGGGAGTCCTCAGATGATCACTCTTGACTGAATTACACTATTATAGGAAATTACTGTCCCTCTGCTAAAGGTTAGAGCTTCCTTACCTGTGAATTACTCACTTCCAACAGAGGCTTCATAGCTGAACATGAGTGAAGTCTATGTTCCAATGCAAYGTTAAAATTTTACTTAGAGCACTTCTTTATACCTTAAGGGACAGTTAAAGCAATCATCTTACCACAGAGGAGATTTGTGTTAGATTTTTAATCATCTGAATTCACCTATCTAGGTGAAATTGGGGTGATTTTAAGATGGCAATCCCTAAATCACTAAATACATTTGTAAGATTATGTGGCATGAAGGTTATTGAAGGAAGTTTTTGAGTAAACCGCTAATGTTTATAATAAGTTAATTTTCACAAGACAAAAGAGAAACTGCCAGCTTTCTGACAAGTAATTGTCAAAGAAAAAAAAAAAAAAAGATGGTCTCATATCAAAAGTGCCTTTGCAATACTGGTCAGATGGGTAATTGGCTGTCAGTTGGGTAGCTGTGAGACTTGATGAAATACAATGCAAAAGAAATATATGGCATCATTGCTGAAAGAGCTCAGGATGAAGAGCTGTAACAAAGGTAAGTGAAGGCCACAGAACAGAAACAAAGAAAAGAAGGGCAGATGTGAAATGAAAAAATTGCTTCTGTTTAAGAATTGCCTTTCATCAATGAGCAATATTCTTATTTATCTTTTCACTATTCTTCTGAGTGCTTTAGTGAATAAGTTCATTTAAGGAGAATGGCAGTGATATCACAATATTACTAAAGACAGCACTTGGACAAAGAGTTACAAATACTTTTCTGAATGAAAAAAACTGTCACTCATATCTACTCTATTAGCAGTTCTTTGAAAAAAGGATATCTTAAGAAAAAAAATGTGCAAGCAGCAAGCAGTATCCATTCAATTATTCTTGAAAGTCAACACACTATACTAGTGTCTCAGAACCAGCCACTGCTAAATGTTTTGCAAACTGTTCATCTTCTCTGAGAAATGGATCCAGAATATGGTAAGGGGAGCTAGTAAATACCAAATCTTAGAAATGAAAGTAATTATAATRGATTTCGGACTGAATGGATTC